GAACTCAGGGGCTGGCTCTTTGATGACCTCTCCCATTTGGGGGAGCAGCCTTACCAGACCACAGAGGACAGTGCAGCCAGTCATGATGAGACCTGATAGGCTAGGGTCAGATGGAGGGGGACCTCCCCTCTCAGTGGACTTGGGGAGGGACATGGGAGGAGATGAGGGAAGGAGGGTGGGATTGGGAGGGAATGAGGGAGGAGACTGCAGCTGGGATACAAAGTGAACGAACTGTAATTAATATAAAGAATAAAAAAATTAAAAAAAGAATGGTTGTAATTAAAATAATGACCATACCAATTATCAAAAGCTTTTTAGAAGCCTTAGAACTCACACATCGCTTACCAGAGTGTAAAATGGTTGAGCTATTTGTAAAACAATTGGCACTTTCTTATAAACGTCAACACACATACATTATGTACAACACCCTGTCTCTACATATGTAGCCCAAAGAAGATGTTTCTGTTCAAACAAAACACACAAATGTTCCAGCTTTCTCTGAAATGACTTAAAATTGAAAGCAACAAAATTGTGCAATAGATGGGCTAGTGAGCCAGTCATGGAATATTAATATTTGTACAATGAAATACTACTTAGGAAATAAGGACAACATATCAACACAGAATGACTACAGCTTTCTGGTACTGTTATGGGTTCGGAAGTAGCCACACACGGAGCACTCGAACACCAGACTCAGCTTGATGGAAGTTTAATAATGCTCAACAAAAACTCACTGGTCAGGCCCACATCTGGTCTCTGGAGCAAGATGCAGATCTCTTTCTAAGACAGGCTTTTCATGTGAAAACCACAACTAGGCAACAACTAGGTAACCAGGTGTACCAAGTGCGTGTGTGTGTGGGGGGGGTGCAGCACCACACCATTTCAACCAGTCAAACAAAGCCTTTCCAAGTACATTGCCTCTAGGTAGCTAGACAAAGCGTTTCAAGCTGATTGACTAGGACACAGTCTTGGGGACTTTCCAGCTCCCCCTCATTCTGGGAGAAAGGAACATAGCAGGACATCACAGTCCCAGCTCTAACAGAACACACATGTATCTTTAACCCAAGCAGAACACGCACTTATCGGCTACTGTTTTATTCCAAGCAGCAAGTACTGAACTACCGAATTTACCCTGGTCTCAGGCACGTCCGGCCTGAGAACTTGAACTTAATTTCACCTTAAGATCAAAACGGAGACTCAGAAAAATGAAATGGCTTCTGTTATGCTAAAGATGAAGGCAGATGTTAACAGAGGAGCTACGGTTACGCAAAGAACCAAAGGAGGTCTCAATGGAGGGGCTACAGCGTGTAACAGGCCAAGCAGCTTCCAGAAGTACTGTAATGAAAAGTAAGATGGGTGCACATTTTATTTCTCCATCCATACCAAGATAGAGAGAATATAAATCATTGTGTAATGATAGGTTGCAGATCACGGTTAATTTGGGGGAGGAAGGAACGGCCAGAGGTCTGAGGGAGGAATTACAAAGGGCCCTGAGGTACTTTTGGAGGTGGTAGGTATTTGTTCAACATCTTGATGGTGATGCTGGTTTTACAGAAATTCTCACCACTTTAAATTTGCGCACTCTACATATCAATTATAGTTCAGTGATGCTGACTCACTAAGTTCACTCAAAACATTGCAGAGTTTAAATTGCATTTTCTGTAATTTCTTACAGACTGAACATTATGTTACTGAAAGAGAGAATTTCAACCTGGCCGAGTCAGCTCCAGTCCCAGAACAAACCCCAGGTTCCTCTGTGTGAATTCTACAGAGCATGGGGTGTCACCGTGCCCCAATCTAGAAATACAAATTCCATCTCCGGCTTCCCAGGCCACCCCAGGGCATGGGAGGGAGCTGCAGTTGTGACTTCTGTGAACAGTAGTTCCTGTTCTTGTCTGTTTTAATCGGCAACTCTTTCTGACATGGAAGCCAGACTCCAACCCTCAGGAAGCTCAGAGTGCAAACAGACTTGGCGTATGAGTTACAACTCTGTAGCAGAATACATGACAGAAGCAACTGGGAGGGAGGGTTTATTTTTGCTCATGGTACAAGGGCTCAGAGTTTATCACGGTGGACAAGGCACAGACAAAGGTTCACTCTATGTGGCAGGAGTATATAGCAACTACTTGTTATGTGGGGTTGAGCAGAAACCAGAAATAAGGCCTCAGAGTGATAGCCACGCTACTACCCTCAAGAGCTATTCTCTAGTGGTTTGTGTTCTTTATCACTCATTTTCCAGAGGCTTCAACACACACACACACACACACACACACACACACACACACACACACACACACACACA